ACCTGTTTTACTTTCTGCAGGGCGTCCATTGTGTGAGTGGGTGTTCTTCCCCCTGAAGACTTCTGTTTTTCCCGTCACTAACTCACTGCTGGTCAAGGTTTCTGAGCTTCCCTTGAGGGACTGATAACACCTCACATATGAAGTCAAGGAGTTAGGCTGGGGTAAAAGTTTCTTCTAAATTTGATTAGCATTTCATGGCACTTCATTTTCTCACCCTGCACCTACCAGCAGTCTACTTTATTGTGAGTAAAAATAACAATTACAAAATTACTGGTGAGGTGGTGAAGTATCAGACTGCTTGACTAAAAAAGTCTGATTTACAACAACCTGGCTCTCAAATTTCATGTTTTAGTGATCATTTCTTTTAGGAAAAAACATAGTCACCTAGTTAAACACTGATATCTTCAAAACTGAAAGTATCACTCGAAAGAGCGCCAGTGGGGCAAGAAGCACAGGGCATCTGTAAATATAGCAAATATGCTCTTGGTATACTGTAGGTACAGCACTTTGGTCGGCTGTTGCTGTTTTTAAATGTGCTTTATAAACACATTTGATTGAAAATTTGAAGAGCTAGGACTCAAAGGCAGAATCAAATGCAGGTTGCACTTCAACTCAGTCTGATAATTGTCAGCAGGTTTTAGTTCACAGGACATCATATCCAAAATGACAATCAAAGACAAAGCCAAAAACATGACCATGTCAGATCACCAAGCTCACCGGGAACTTATACAAAGCAAAGCAAGCTGACACAAGGGATACAAACAAACTGGCACAGAAGGTGGGGAACACAGAGACTACTCTATGGAAGGAGAGACAAATGAATACAGGTGAAACACAGAGCGATGCAAGTAATCACAGAGGCGGGAAAACACACAATGGCAGGAAGTGCAGGATCTGAAACAAGACAAATGTTAGTATCAACATAACACAGGATGTCGGAGACATGAGCTACAAGGACAACAAAATGGATAAATTTGCAGAGACCTAAAACATGACGCAATCAGACCATCAAGTTATTTGGAACTGAAACAGAGGTAAATAGTGAAATTACAACATAATTTGACCAATTTAAACTTCTATGCTCAGTATTATTTACAGACTTTCTGGTTCTACTTTGTAATCCTTGTTGTTTTGCAAATAAACCTAAGCAACATGGGGTTAGTAGAACTGTTAAACCAATTTAAACTTCTATGCTCAGTATTATTTGCAGACTTTCTGGTTCTACTTTGTAATCCTTGTTGTTTTGCAAATAAACCTAAGTAATGTGGGGTTAATAGAACTGAGAGTGCTCATTTTAAATTCTAACACAAAGATTTTCTGGCTATAGTGTTGATAAATAATATCAACACTATAATAAGATAATTAGTTAGTTTTGTGAATAAAGCTTTCTTTGTTACTGATAGAAAGTATGTCAATAACTGCACACACAAAAAAACATAATTAAAAAATAATCCTAAACTCTTTTACTTGCATATTTCCTAAACGTCTATGACGCTTTCCAGTGAACCACACGACATCAAGCAAGTTTATGGCAGTGATCTACCCAGATAATATTCCTGTCTGAGTTTAAGTCTAATCATATAAAAACAGAGTACTACAAACATAAGGATTAGATTGAAGCTGAGCTTTTAGTTAAATTCATGAGTCATAAAACAGGAAAAAAAGTTTGCAGCTGTCAGTGAAGGAAGCCAGATAGATTAGTCGGGCTGATCACTGGCTGTCATAAGCACTTCTGCAAGGAAAATTCTGTCTTTAAGGATCAATACGTTTTTCGAACATTTGGGGTTGTGTATGAGGTACTTGTCAACAGGAAGTGCTGGTTAGCTTGGCTTTTTCATTGAGAAACTAGTCAGTTTGTGTGTGGCATGGAAACTAGGCTAAACGTTGAGACTCAACAGGTCCGAAAGAGAGAGTGGGAAACTTTCAGGCAGTGGTTTCAGGCACAGCCCAACTGTCCCACCTAGGAGTCAAACAGCTGTCACCATCACCATGGCAACCTTTAGTTGCAGTGGGGAACACACAGGTGTGTCAGATTAGCTCATTAGTGCAGTTTGATTCACATACAGACACAAACTCACGCAAGATAGACATTGGCTGTGTCTGAAATCAAACAGTACGCACTATATAGTGACCAGCATAAACACACAACACAGAATCACAGAAAAGTTAATATTTGCGTTTTAATAGAAATTAAGGGATTTTCAACCGAGTAACGTTTTTTTCCAAATGTTCATGCAGGCACGAGATTACAGGTATATTCTGTAAGCACAAATGCATTAGTTTGGGTGTGAAATTATGTTTCATTACATGTTAAAAGTTTAATATTTTATATCGTTTTTTAGTATTTTTAACTGTTGCTGCATGTTTTTTAGTTCTGCGACAGTAAAGAATTCACTGTCGGCGGCGAGTGAGCGAGCAGTGTCCAAAATGTTTTCTAATTTTGCCGATTGAGTGCAATACATAGTACACTACATATAACTGCCTATAAAGGGAGAAGGGAATGAGTGTGTGATTTCTGACACAACCATTGGCACACTTCCTCAAGCATTATGTATTTTGTGTATGGTGGTGAAAACAGACAAGAGTAGGGGGTTAGAAAAGCAAGAGCTAACACTGATAGATGAGGTGGTAATTAAACTGAAGACATACATCTATCAGGATCAAGAAAAACAAATGACAGAGTCGGACAATCAAACACACACATAACAGCCTGAAAATGGGTTAAATAGAGGTTTGGCCCTCGTCCTGCTGCTCCTGGTCACCGGGAGGTCAAGCCAGCCACATCCATCAGTACAAGAAACGCAGGATAGACTCTTAAATGTCTTGGCTTCTCCCCTTCCAGCCACTACAGAGTGATGGCAGCCTTGTCTGAGATAAAGGCCGATCCATTGGACTGATTTGTGGCCAGTGGGGCAATTTCAATACCTGTCTTTTTTAGTGATGCATTAGAACCCTGTTTGAAAAGGTCTAGTTTGCCTTGGGGCCATAGTGGATGAAAAAGCAGTAGTCGCTATTATTTTGTCCTCCTCTCAATCCACACGAAAACAAGGCTAGAGGAAAAGAAGACACACATAATGCCAAGTAGGCAACAGTAAAAACAGAGCTGGAGTGTAATTGCGTTTTTTATATGACACAGACTGAGGACTGTCTTTGATCATTAGCACACATCCTCTTCCTCTAAACAAATGATTGCCAAAAAAACAATTGCTTGAGTCAGGAGTAGGCTGCTCAACTGTACTTTTGGTATATTTATATCCAAATCAATAGATTGAATTAAGGTGCATTGAAATAAGAGACAGAAGTACTTTGGCATCCTGTTAATCCTTCCTCTTGGACTCATGAGCTCACTCTGGATAACTGTTGAAGACAGCTGAAGAGGAATGTCAAACTAAGGCTGTCAACACGAAACTTCCGATTTGATGTCAGGTCTATTCTTATGCTGAGACCTCACAGCAAATGTTTGTACAGGAGAAGTATAAGATCATGAATAATAAGAGAGCAACAGATATACAACAGGTGACTTTGCCTTGCCAATGTTGGATTTGTTGTTCATTTGAGAGGGCACAAGTGTGGGACACGGATGGAACGCAGCACACATGGAAAGAGTGGGGTCCTGGCGTTTGGCTGCAAAATTCTAAGTGTGTTAACCAATTTTTATACCCTTCAAAGCACAGCTTACCACCAAAATAGATATCCGTGGTGAAGCTTTGCTGGACTTGTCGATCCCTCTGTTGACTGTTGTTGGTGGTCCATTAAAAATCCTGTCGTGCCGATGATTTCTCTCTGCAAACATCAGCCTTTGGATGTGTCTGGGGGTTTTGAGATATCAGTCGATGGATTTGTTCCCCCTCTATGACACAGATACAATAAGTATTGTCATACTACTTATATCTGACAGTGTTGGCATCAGAGATGTAATATATAGAGGCCTAGCTAAAAGTTGGACAGCTACTGTTTCCCCCCCTTTTTCGTCAGCCTCTCGCCATGAAGCTGATGTTTGGAGTCAGAGACGACTGGCTCAAGTCATTAATGTTGCTGTTTAGGGAGTAGTACTTTTCTTAAGCTTATGTGCTCATATTATTCCAGCAGAAATACCAGTCGCAAGATATGACTTCACAGATTTAGTTTCATTGTGTCTGGAAAAAGTTATGGTGTCTGGAAAGAGTTTTGGGGGCTTAAAAAAAAAGTGTTCTAACGACATTGCATTGACGTTTTGGTCAGTTAAATACTGTGATATTGCTCGTTTTGGGTAAAGCAATATATTGTAAATATTTATGACAGTCATCAAATGCCATGAACTGACGAGTATGAATGCAAATGCATGATGGTGTCCTCCAAATACTCCAAATGAGTCAGTTGTAACAAGGAAGATCATTATAAGACTCACAGTTAAAAGTAAATGTAGTTAATACATAGAATGTATAAATTACACTGACATAATTTTTTTAGGCATCTACCATCATATTACTCTCATAGTTATCCCTTTTCAAGTCAAATGTTTACATCTCTAATGCACAGGTCCTTTGCTTTGCTTCAACAGGCAGGTTATGTCTGACTCAAATAACAGGTACTGTAAGGGGGCAAGACAAAATACACCAGAAATGCCACATTAAAATGTCATAAGACCAAACTAAGTATTCGCTAAATAAGATTGCCCTTAAAAGAGTACATGTCAGTGATCCTGTGGAGAAATACTAATTGTCTGGGAGCGTTGGAAGATTTTTTTAGTGGCTCTGGTCTGTTGACACAGAACATTTCAAACAGCTGAGCTGACACTCACAGGTATAATTAAATTGTGCTTAATGCAGATGATGGAGAAGATCATGGGGAAGGTTATGCTTTTGTCACTTACTGTGTTTTTTTCTCACCTGACACCCCCAAGCAGCTTTCGCAAAGATCCGCATCAAATAACAACTATTTTTTATTTCTTTTTTTTGACTTTTAACAAACATTATACATAAATGTGTTGGTGAGTAGCGATGATGATAATAGGTGTTGAATTGTTCTTCTCTCTGGCTTCAGCTGGCAGCTTCCCCAACTGTCAACAACAACAGGCACTTCATTTTGATATGGCCACATATTTGATTAGGCCGCTGTCTTTGTATAGTCACACAAACCAGTCAGATAATCAAAACAATAAAAACCAAGACAAGAACAGAACATTCAGCCCAATGAATCACACAGCCACATGATAGAGAAGAGTCACTTTCAGTTTTAATTAGCCCAGCAGCCAATTTTAAAAATGATGGATTTAACTAATACTGACATATTGACTAAACGTGGGATGAATTCAGAGCTTCCACAGTTTGTGATTGTTTGTTATCTCACTCTCATGACTCTCTTGGATGCAAAACGTCACATATGGTTTTTATATAAATAATATGTGCCATCTAATCGCCATCTAATTCAAAATATTTCAAACTTGATTCATGTAAATGGAATATTATAACTGAAGAGAGTGATCCATACATTGGGCAATTATCGTGATTGTCTATTATTTTCTTGACAGTAATTAGTGTTTTCTTTTGAAAAGGATGTATTTTTTAACCGTTACATCAGGCCACAGCAGCACTTTAAATAGTTAACCTCAAGTGAATTCTGCAACTGAATCAAAACCAAAAGGGGGTTACTTAAATAATTACATAAATAAAATGGGTTAGGTATGAGGAGGGGTTGTGTATGGACTAAAAAAACACTTTTAATCAATACTGAAATATACCAAAACAGGCTAAAAAAAATGAACTCCATGATGATTGAATGCAAAAATATGAAACCAACATGTCTCCAGTGATGTTGGTTTGGATATCTACACACTTTCATTTCAAGTAATTTCAAGTAAGATCACACATGTGCGTCCTCTTTCATGTCGTCATGCATGGATCTGGTTTTTGGAGACAAAACGAAAAAACTAAACAACAAACCAAACCAAGAACTAAACCAAACATCACTTTACAAAATTGTACTGCACATACAAAACCTCCAAATCAAACTCTGTAGTTATATACAATACAAAATTGCTTTAAACCCATCTCTCATAGAATCTAAATTTGCTGACAATGTTATACACACCATCTCTTGAAAAGTCAACAAAACACAGAAAAGTACAACAAATAAAACGTTAAAAAGTGATGATTTAAAAAAAGAAATTGGAAACTTCAAATAAACTACAGGGCGCATAGAAAAGAAAACTCAACCTCAATAAAAGACAAACAACATACATTTAATTCAATAAACAATATCAAGTGTACTTTTCTCCTCTTTATAACTTTGCTGTGGTGTCATGTCATGTTGTGGTCCATTGCTCTATCCTTTCTGAGTGGTGGAAACAGCAGAGGATGAACTCAATTTTCAGTTGTAATGATAAGGGTCAGTTTAACAGGCCTCAGTCTGCTTTATGCACCTCCTCCATTTTTGTCCTTTCCTACCTCCAACCCTCATTCCCTCCTTATTCTGAAGGCATTCAGGTGAGTGTCTCTTTAGTCCATTGAAAACCCGAAGTACCCCCTATGCGATGTTCTTAATTGCATTCTCGTTAAGCTTTTCCATGTAGTTCCTCAGATCCTTTGAGTCCCCAAGCTCAATGTCCGGACATACCCATTTTATCTCACTGGTCTGCACTAGTGCTAATGGGCTGAGCACAGGACATCCGTTACTGGACTTGACGTTGGAAAAGGTGGTGAACTTCACCCTCTTTCTCTTGGTGGTTGGTGAGTTTAGTGACTCATTCCGGTGATCCCTCCCACTACAGCCACCAACACCAGTATTACCACGCTGTATGCCTCCATTTAACAGTTGACTACCTTCCTCCAAGGTACCGCCCAGCTCATCCTGCTGTTGCTGCAGGCAAAGACCCTCCTCTTGACCCAGCCAAACCCAGTCGTGGGCATGGGGCATTGCCTCCGGGGCCTCCAAGGATATGTGCTTGCTGCGGTACTTGTATGCATAAGAGATACAGTTAATGAGAAAAACCAGGATGGCCAGGCAGAAGACTCCCAGCAGGGCGTACATACCAATCTCCAAGTCCGTCAGGCCTCGTCTGGATGGTGAGAAGTCCTCATCAGTGCTGTGGCTACGAGGCAGATCTGCCTGGTCTGGGTATTCAGAGAATTCACTTGGGGCTCTTGCCCCACTGTCCACCGTTTGGCGGCCCCCATTGGGTCTCACAGGAACATGACCCCTTATGGTGGTGGCTCCACGGTTTAATATTCCTGTCTCCATGTCGGAGATAGATCCACCATAATATGGAGGATCAGGACGTGTTCGCCGGTCTGCTGGCTGTCTGTATTTGTCCTCCATCTGACCAAACCTTACCTGTATGTTTGCCTTTCCAGTGGCTAAAATAGTTTGTCGTTTTCCCTTTTGGCACACCTCTGATTGACTCATTTCAACACGCAGAAGCAAGCCCTGACCTTTGCCTTTGGCAACAACGGTAGGCCACTTCCACATTGCACTACGCTGCACTACCACCACCTTTTCATCCAAAGAGGTGGCTGTGAGGGTAAAATGGGCGGGGTTGTAGTTGTCTAGTGGAGTCATAGAGCCATCACTGAACTGGAGCCAAGCACTGATGAGGGACTCCTAAGAAAGAAACACGCAAACAACAATCAGTATCAGAACCACAGTCAATGCTTAAATTAATTACAAAGACAGAAGAATGCATATTTCTAGCTTATGCATTGAGTATACTGGAATATAAAAAAGGAACATGGTGGAAGAAAAAGTGAGCCTTAATTACAGTAGAAAAGCTCATGAAAAACAATTACATAGATTGGATATGAAACTATTCTTGTAAAAGCCAAATATTCCGTACTCTCCAAGGACAGAGACAGTAGCCCTCTTCTTTGAAATTATAATTACAGGAACAACAGAACTGTGCATTGTCTTGATATGCAAATCAAAGACATGGCTTCACTATTTCAAGTGCAAATACATCAAAAAATGAAAAATTACAACCCATATCATAGACACCATAATAACCCTGGTCCATCTCTAAGACAAATACAATGCACAGTACAAAGTAACAGACTAAAGTTTAGACTTTACTCCCACATGTCTTGAATATGTACCTGTGTGAGTGATTGAATGACTTCTTGTGTGGTTGCAGTGGCAACGATGGCCTTGTTGCTCCCTGGGCTGAGTTGCAGAGACAGAGAAAGTCCAGACACCAACTGCACCCCGAGCTCTGTCACACTCACTTTGTCCTCCAGCACCCTGATGCTCCTCTCAGCCAGGATTGAAGATGTAAGAGGGGACACCACCTGAGACACACACAAACACCTGTTAGTAATGGTACACAAATAAACTCCAACTTATTGTTATGGGTTGATTATTTCCTGAAACATGTCAGTAATCAAGCCTAACGAGTAAACTGCTGGGCTCTGGTGTTTCAAATATTCCACCAGCAGCCGGTTGGGCTTAAAAGAAGAGGATAAAACGACCTGTGGATACATTTTCATTTATTCACTAGTTTGTGGATCGAATCAAATAGAACAGAGAACTGAGGGGCGATACACCACAGATTGGATTATAGCAGCTAATAGCACCATAAAATGCGCATCATTTGCTCCGGCTAAGTGCTCCATCTTAAATTCCACTTTACAAAACTTATTGCACCAATGATAATCAGCCAAAAACACGCCCATAAAGTTAAGCGACTCTGTGAAATTTGCTCTTGTTTTGCATCTGACTGTGAAGTTGTCAGCGTGTCTCCTCTCTGACCAGGGGTGCAGAGAGCCATGAATTGACTCCAGTGATCACCCCCAAACCATTAACAACGATTTGCCTTGTGAGATGCAGTAATTATGTTATGTTATGTTATGTTCAAGCTGTATAGATTTTTTATTTGACATTGATATCACAATTACATTGGATCAACCATGATGCATTATTTGAGTGTTTTAGCTTACATGATAATTCTCAACACTTTTGAGATAATCATTATGATTATAATGATAGAAAGAGAAGGAAACAATGAGGAGAGAGGGTATAAGTAGCTCTCTTTGCATAAATAATACACAGGAATATAACATCTTTCAGATAGCCTATACATTATTAAGTATTATTAGTGGCGATAAAAAGTCTACATAAATTCTGTTTCTTTACATATGCTAACAAACTTCATATCTCGCAGCATAAACCCCCCGTTTAATAGCCCCGACAAACAACAGACCACAGTCGTGAATCTAGCTACACTCTTTTGGGTGGATCAACATTAACATCAAATTTGAATTCAGGTCAACTACTGGTCCAATAATTCAGAGATCCAGCTTATGTTATACAGTTTGTTTTGCCTTTTAAACTGATCTCTACAGACTATCTACACTGATACTGTAGATTGTAAGGTAGACCTCATTCACAAGGACTCTGCATATATAAATAACATTGTTATTAGCTTAGATAAACAAATGCAAGCTGACAGATTCCCTCCAGACATCCCTCCAAACCTTATGCAAACATCAAATCTCCACCCTACCATCACATTCTCCACCTCCCTGAGTAGCCAGAGATGTAAGCATGTCAAGAGTTTTATGCTGGCTCGATGAGATGAGAATTCCTCCCATCTGCTTCACTTAAAACTCCAGTCTCTTTTCCTCAAGCTGCCCCCCCCCTAGGGTTTAATTTAGGAACCCATAATGAAATGTCAGCACCTATGACTGCCTCATTAGTAAAGACACTTTTCCCTGTTTTCCTCTCTTTGGTTCAACTCTTTTCCCTTTGCTTCTGACACAGTGGAACTGTTGTCATTGGATCCTAACAGAGCTCAAGTCAATATGTTCTCAAAAAATGTAAAATATGGCTGAACCTTGTCTATGAGATTAGTTCAAAGGGAGACTTTTTTGTTAATTCAAAGTTCAAATTTTCAAACAGATAATTAATCCTACAGACTGATTCTGTATTTAAGTCTGACAATATTTCCCCTATGTACAAAACAACAACAAAGTATCTTATTCTATGCGGTGCTGTAGTGTCTCTTCATAGGATTTCATGGCCTCAATTTACTTTTGATTATGTTAGTGTTCCAGTATATAGCTGGTATTCCAAAGCCAGTGCCATCAGCAAACTTACTTTCTGTAGAATTTGATCACGTAAAATATATATATTTTTTCATATTCCTTCTCCATTTATACTTTATTGTGTGATCTCTTCCTCCCCTTAAGCATTATATTCAATTGTCAGGTATGTTTACTGTTACAGATTTGAAGCTGTCACCTCTGGCCTACATCTATTAGCTAGATGTCCATACCAAGCATGTCAAGTCCTATTCCAAGAGTTCTCTCTAAATCGTCCTATTTAAAGTTTTGCAAAGGTTCATAGAAATATAGTCAGATCCTCAATCATTTCTGGCATATTGCATATTCGGCTGACAGGCCTTGGTGTGTCCTCTTTGTTGTCTCTGTCTTCAATAGTGTGACTAAGAAGCTTATGAAAAACAAGAGGTTTGTTCAGTTTTTCTTAAAAAAATAACATGAATTCAGCACTCTAGGGAAGTAAAGGTCAGTGCAAGAGTTGATAATGAAATGGGTTTTGATGTTTTTAGGAACATTAAGAATACATAACTCTGGAGGTTTACTGAGCTGATTTTAGTGTTTATCTGATTGCTCTGGATTAAGCCCAAAATCTTTCTCCCAAACCAAGAGCCGTTTTGAACATCAAACAAAATACCAAGTGAAACATATGTAACATTTAAAAGGGTGTGCTGGAAAATATATTGAGGTAAAAATAAGGCAAAAATAAATACCCTTCTATGTGTGGACTTGGCCTAAACAAGCAAAATATAAAGCCAATCAAAGGAAACCCTATCTGCCAAAGGCCTGTTTATACTGGTACATACAGTCATGGACAGATTCCCAAGGAAACTAGGTCACAGGTTTCCTTGCTCATCAGGAGCTATTGACTGCACCTGATGACAATCAGCTGGGCTGAGAGGATATTGGGAGCTGGAACTCAACATATGCAACCAACTATGCTCAGTTGGTTGTGTGTCTCCAGAGAGTCAACACCATCATTTGGCTTTCTGTGCTTGTGTTTTTGAATATAGATCTCAGTTGTGTGTGGGTTTTCCTTTCAGCCATTTGAGGCCTTCCATTACCCCTCCTTATCTTTTGTTTTAGATTCCAATGTCTTGTCTATCATTTTGATAGAATTAGTGGGTAGTTGAAGGACTATGTTCTTCTGCCACCTTAAAGAAAACCAAGATTCACTTATGTGGTATGTTGTCCTCTGCAAAACTGATCTTAAGAAGCATGACAAATCTCTTGCAGAGATGTTGTTTTTTAATGTATTCCCTGGTTAAGTTATCCATTAACACTACCGTATAACATCTGCACAGATCAGGTCATTTTCTTTAACGACCATAATCAGTTGTCCACACCTGCTCTGTGAAGCCTAAAAGCTCTATGTTGGTGAATTTATCACCATGTTGGTGAGATGGCATACATGTAGTGTTTTGGGGAGCTAAAGAGTGAGGCTGCTGTGATTCACTGTTTAAATATGCAAGCTAATTTGTTTAATCGACGTCTTGATTTTTTGGCCACTTGGGGGCAGGATAACTCTACAAGAACCTGAAAAAACAACAAAAAGAATCAAAGATTCTTGTTACACAATAAAATATGAATAGAATGAATTCCAAATTAACCCTTCTTTAAGGCATGTTTTGTCTCCACTAACTCCTAGGTTTTATCTCCTGGATTCTCCTCTACATTATCAGTTTGTTCATTGTCTGTCTGCTGCTGACAGACAGTGCACATAGAGGTTTATCAGAGCATTTTTGCTGCAAAGTGATGCTGGTTGCTGCAGGAAACGGGATTAATTGGAGTGGAAGAGAGCTCTGATAGAAGTGCAGAGTTGGGTGATCGTTCTCCTGCGGCGACAAGGGTCGATACAAGGGGACCACTTTCACATCGCACACAAGATGATGCAGAAAACACTGAATTTCGACTCTTTTAGACCCTTCTTGAAATTATCTGTCATGGAGGTCAATATATTGACTTTCAGGTTATAAGATACATCTCTCAGCTGTTTCCAAAATACTACTCTAGTTGACAATTTCTGCATTTCCACAAAAACATCAGTTTTCTTTTTCAAAATTCCAGTAGGCCTGTTTTCTTTTTTTTTCCTGGCAGGTTACATAATCTACCCACTTCTCGCTTTTCAGACAGCACTTCAAATAGTGGTGATTTTTCTGTGTAGTAGAGTCAGAAGACGACACAAGACAGGGAAACTAACAAACATGTTAACGTGCATGAATGTGATCACCGTAAAACTTTGATTAATAGCCCGGGCTTGTATTTCCTTCGGTCTATAAAATGACCCTGCCTTGATTTGGGACAGGCATCAATACCAGGCAGACCTTTTTAATTATTTTTCAAACCGAACTAACACTCTCCACAGATGGGAAAGACTGTCAAATTGCATAACCAAAGGGTATTTAAGTGTGTATATTGATTAAAAAAAAAAAAAAAATCTGATAAATTTGATCTTGCTTTGTAGGACAGCCCATCCCTTCATACCAACCTGCTGCACTGTGGGGCTGAGAGAGAAACCCTTGCTAATACTAATACCAATGAGTGCCTTGCTGGACCTGTGTAAACACATCAGAATGTCTTTAGTTATTTAAAGCTTATTTTATAGTGTTAAAATTAAGTTTAAGGGATTAAAATAAACATTTGTTTCCATCTTCAAAATCTGCACAAGTTCATCCTAATTTTAGTCTTCCTACTTAAATTTGTTATGGAAACTAATTAAAATCTGGAATGCACCAGGGCCTCTAACCAAGACCTGCCTTTATTTGTCAAAATGTGCCAGATGCAGCAAGTAAGAGGGACTGGGCCCTAAATTGGGATGGGCTTATATTTTAAGTTTTACAATTACAATTAACTAGTGAATTCTCTTCTAACAGGCTAACATGGCATATACTGTATGAACATTAGTCAAGTGTCTGACGGAAGAATTAAGTGAAATGAAACTGCAGTCTGCCTATTAAGTTACCGAAACAAACAATCATTTAACCTGTAGTTTGGTGCTTCCAGCGCTCACTCCGATCACGACTTGACCATCCAGCAGTTGTGCGACCTTCGGGTCGGCCACCCTCAGAGAATCCTTGACCAGTTGTGTCACCTCCACCTGCCAGTCACTACCCAGCAGGAAGTTCTGCTGGCCCAGCCCGTCCTCCTCCGCTGCTCCTCTAACTTCTCCGGTATCCACCACAAAGTGTGTGAGGACGCGCAAGGTGGTGCTCTGATACTGAGCCACACAGCTGTTGTCCATCCTCGCCTCTGCTGCATCTTCTCCATCTTTGTCATCAGTGACCCGCTCATACCTGCAGGAATGGAAAAAGATGTGCTGATGAAGAAACAGAGTAAAGCATGGAACAATAAACAAGAACAGAAAGACTATTACACTGTATTTTACTTCAGTATGTTCGTTTCAAGGTTATCACTGGTATAAGTGGACTTTTACTATCACAATTTAATGTAATTTACTTTTTTCTTACATCATGAATGCCCATGAAGTCTGAACCCTCTGAAGTATTCACCGCAGCCAAAGCCTCAACTGTCGATTGATCTGCAGGTTTCTCTGACCTCCTGAAAGTCTCCCAGTGTTTTCTAAAATCCATTAAAAACAGCTTGCAGAGACAAACTGCTACCTTGCTTGCTTTCTCATTTTCTTTAAACGGGCAACTGTTATTTTGTGTATGTCTATCATTTTTCTAGCCCTTGGCAAACACTCTGCAGATACAGGCATCTCAGGAGATACGTTTGTAAAAAAGTGATTGTCTGCAGACCAGGTAGTTTTTGTGACACGTGTGCAGTTTATTTTGCTTCTACTTATTATGATATGGTCCTTTACCACATGAAAAGACCCTTATAAGGGTGAAGGAGAGAAAGGAAGAATGGGAAGACACATTCTGTTAAAGAACTAGTGGCGACAAAGTTCGCCTTTGACGTCGCCAAAAAGTTGCACTAGAACACACCGCAAGGACTACAGTTGACGGCCAACCGCCACGTGCGTTCTGCGACTGTGTGAAAATAAATAATTGTCCATGCCTGCAGGTTGCGGTAGTCCGTCGTTATGATACAAGAAGACTATTTTTGCACCGCTGTCGCGCACCACTTGTATTGTAGGTAACCTATTAATTGAGAATCTGGTGAAAAGTTGAAAATGGCATAGACGTTGTCAGCCCTTGGTCTTTTAGTGGAAAAAGAGGCAGAGGCAACAAATAAGGAGAAACCGCACTAATGGGTGAAAGCATGGATACTACAGCGGCAGGCTCAAGGGGCTTTCCCAAACCTGTGTGGAGAGCTGGAGATAAATGAAACCTCTGAACAGCCAATCAGAGAGATTCCTCTCACCCACGCTGATTCAACATGTTGAATTGGCTGACGTGGGCCAATGGTTAACAACAGAGGGCGACGACCGAGCACCGATGGTCCAACGGCCGGCGATCTTCTTGGTGTGTCTGGGCCTTAATAGGACAATCCAGCAAACTAAGTTTTCGGCACCTAGCTGTTTGATACAAGTTTAGCTGAACTTTTGATCAAACAGGATTTGCAGCAAGGCTAAAATGTTGTGTTGAGACGCTGGCACTTTCTTTGGAGTCCACTATGTTCATGAAAAAGAGAAGAGAAACATAAATATGGCTATAAGACATTTACAGTAATTTGATCCATACTCTTTAACTTCCTTAACCAGCTTTATGTTCTTCTCCTGAGCTTTGTCATTGTCATCTTTCTGTCTGACTCTTTCTCTATATTTCTCACATTTCCAGCTTGACTTCTCCTGTAATCTATTTTTCAACTCCCTCCTGTTCTTCTCTCTCTAACCTTTATTTCCTGACTGTTTTTAGCTCTGCCTTAGGCAGGAGGGGAGTGACAGTGACAGTTTCCATTAGGTTTAATGAGGTATGACCGGTCAGGCTGAAAAACAGGCTGACAGGTTAACATATTGTGGTCCAATGGCTCGGCTTAGTTCCTAGCCTCGCTTCACCCCTCCCTCCTCTTCTCACACTCCACATCAGTGAAGGGACGGCAGTCTGAACCAGAGTGACATTTGTGGCTGGCAGCAGAAACACAAGGTCAGGTCATGTTTGTAACAGTGAGTGACAGGTCAGCCATGGTGTTGGAGTGTAATGAGGTGGCCTATATAAGCTTTAGAGAGTGTGATTGAGAGCATTCAGAGTTTGAGCACATTCATAATGATAAACTGGTGCCATGAAAAAAACATGAATCTCCCTCTTATAAACATGCACACAAATCTCACATAGTATGTATTCTTAATGCATTAACAAACAAGACATCATCACCCTGTCATGTCATCAAGCATGGACAACGGGGGTGTTTGTGTTAAATGTTCTCCTAGTTGACCGTAGTCAAGACCTGAACAGGACAATATGTTTATGGACGATATATCAAAGTATAATTTACATGACGTTTTTATCAAAGCAGCCCATACAGCAACAGTACAGCAGCTTTCAGTTGCAATTCCCGCTTCCTTATGCAGCGGTCTTTGACGTAACGTCCGATGTTTCCTTGGCAAAAATAATCACATTGTGACTGTCATGGTGGCCTCCAAGACACAGACCGTTACAACTATACAATTAGGGATTTCTCTGGCTTTCGCACCTAGCTGTTGGGAAATATTTTAGGTAATGTAAGTACCCAACAACAAAAAAGTGGTACTATAGGTTTCGTCAATCTTTTATTAATTATATATTTTATAATGTAAACATTCTACATATTATTCCTTTCAAAAAATGTTAATGGAAGTTTCATAAATTAAATTAAATTATAGTCACCCCTATACGGCTGATGCTAACTGAAGCTTAGCCTCTTAAGTGTCCAAACATTGGAGCACGTGGGAAATGTATCTAATTTTCACAATGAAAACTCACAACTCAGTAATTACTTTTCTTTACAAAATACAGTCATTACAGTAAAACAAAAAATATAAATTGTTATAAGTGTATGTCAATCATCCTAAATTGATGTGTGTATTTTATTTTGTATGAGGTTATTTGTGTCTTAATAAGCAAGGAATATTATTTGTACAACTCCCACAGATACTGTAATTGGACTCGGTGTCACTTCCCAGACTCCTCAGCCTTGGGGAATTTTATCCACGCTCTGTTCTGCTCAAAATTATTACCCATTTCTTATTCAGCATAAGTACCTTTTGGGGGAAACAGTCAAATGAAATATGAGACTCTCATTATAATTCTTCTGCAGCTGCACCTGCATTGTGTGCCTCATATGGCTGCTTCAACACTATAAAGCCAATTTATTAAGCCTCCATTTGTTATACAGAGGGAAGAATGTGTTTCAAAGTCTTTCCCAAGGATTGTTAAAAACCCATGAGGTTAATGATTAAAATAAAGAAACTTTAAACATATCCTGAAACTATTGTAAAATGGCTAACTTGTGCTGTGATATATTGCTACTTATGGATGAAGCCAGAAATATATTTTTGCAAGTGGATTAACTGTTTCTTGCTAGTTTAAGAAGCATGGATGGAGTTTTTTTGTGCTTGAAATAATGTCATTAAATCAGCTGTTTTGCCTGGGTTATTAATTAAAGCTAGGCAGAAATTTAACAATGATAAACACAGAAATATGCAGTGATAGAAATACAACAAAGCCGTACCTTCTGGTGCCCACATTAACAGGGACTCTCCAGCCCTTTATCTGGCTGAGCTCAGGGTCGGCTATGTCGATGACCAGGGGCAGGCGAGGCATCCAAACACTCATCTCCAGCTGAGCGCTCAGAAAACTGTAGGTAAAGTTGAGCATCACTCGGCTCTTTCCTCGCGACTCCTTCCCGTTGACGTAAACGTAGTCGCATCGCTCGGACACCTGGAGAAAGAAGGAAAACATGACAGATGGGGCCGGATTATGGCTGGAAGTTATACAGCAATAAGAAACTCAATCCATGACACTAAAAACTAAAAACAAGGATAGAAAATTTACTTGTTTTGTTAATTTCAGCTACTTTCACGATGGTTTTTTAAGCCATTTCTATGATGCTGGAGGGTGGAAACACTTGGCAATTCTTCACCGAATCTTCAGGTGTTAGGTTTTGTTTGTGTTTGATTGTGTTATGAAGCATCTTGAAGGACAATGAAGGCAGGATAATTGGCGTATAAGTAGAGTGACTTTGGTCCAACTCAACAGATGGGGTTCAGAAAAGACAGAAACCCGCTTCATCAAACCAGAGATCAAAACCCTCAAACTGAATAACAACTCGCTGAACAGAGTCCAACTCCAATCCTCAACTGAGGTTTCTCTGAAGCTCTCTCTAAATGACAGAAAATATAAACCAGGAACATCAGAAGTGTGTGTCATTATATTCTAAGCATCCTAATCTCTTCATCGAATGTTTTTTTTTTTTCCCCTTTGAGGTCTATAACTTTCAACAATCTGTCATTTAGTTTTGTTTGCAGTCAATTTAAATCATTTCAGTCTCAAACACCATCAGAAGATTGGCACAAGCAGTAATTTGAGCACACGTCCTCAGTACTGTCAGCTGCTTCTTTAGAACAAACCAGCCACACCAAGACTGTCATCTGTCTCCACGTCTTTGCATGGAACTTGGCAGCTCTGCTCCCATATGATGAAACCAGCCCAGATCTGTGGAAACTAAGCTGACAGCTCGGTGTCAGTCAATTTTTTCCCTCCTCCTCCTGCCTTTCACTTTCCTTTTCCTCTCACACTACTCACTCTCTCAGCCTCGGTCTACTAAATTATTACCGTGCCTCCTACATGTTAAGTACTCCTATAATGAGACAGGGCAATTCAAATTAGGGGAAGATAGGAGATTTAAACTTTAGTTGAAATTACCATGCAGTTTCAGAATCAAATTGAGATCTACGATTGAGCTGCTGCTTTAAAGAGAAACTTATATCCATCCAAATCCACCCATCATTATTGAAGTATGGCATTTCGATAGCTCGACAGTAAAAACAGTCATCATCATTTGTTGTGTAAAATGTAAACAGTCTGTACAGTGATAATTTTGCGGTCTAATAGTTTAGGTATGTCAAGGGGGAAACCTACCTCTCGACCTCTCTGACAGCTGAGATTGGCTCGAGCCCCCGTGACCCGAAGCGGAACAGATAATGGATGGATTGATAGTTCCAGTATAGTCAAGTTAAGGTCAAAATGCCCCATGCCGTGAAAGCGACCTAACTGTCACTGTGTCGTTAAAACAGTGAGAAAAGCTGGATATCCCTCCTAATCAGGACTGGACTGGTTATCTGGCATACTTTTTTCCTGGGGGGGCTGATGCACTTTGGGAGCCTAATATTTCCAGTATCTTTTGTTTCGTTTTCTCTAATTGCTTATAACATGCCCATATACAAGGTGGAAGTAGCCCATTGGTTGTTTTCTTTATAATAACAGTTGGCTGGCCTATGACTGGTTCCACAGCTCCCCCACTCCACTCTGTTTTCTCCAACTAAAAAAAAAAGTAAAAGTATCAGGAAGACGCAACACAGGAGTCTGAGAATGATCCATTATACATGCCATGAAGCAGAAGACTTTTAATCAAGATAGCGAAACATTTGTGAAGACTGTGCAGCTACTGCAGTACCCACTGTCACAAAGCCCCAGGTGGAGACATGTGTGGCACTGCCAGGCAGAGAGCAGGATGATCAGGTGCATGTCAGAGAGGCAGGGTAAGGCTGTAATGATACCAAGCGTTAGCGCTAATGAGAGTCTGGCCTAGAGACCAGAGAAGGTAGGCAGTTTTAAGGCACCTGCACACGGCCGGCAACACTCAGGTGCCCAAGCCAAGTCACTAAAGACTGAACTACTGCTGCCCCCTTTAAGAGGGGACACATGTGGGGGGGCCAGTTCAAGCCAAAAAATGACAAAGCCAAATTTTCTGCCCCGTCCAGCGTTACTCCTTTTTTTTTTCCCCCCCCTCAAACCCAGATGGATGGGTGTGCTACCAAGGTCAGCGTCACACTGTGTGGTACTACTTGAGTGGATAATTAAACCCTTTGAGAGATCTGCCTCTTCTTTTCTCTCTGATATTCATGTTCTGAACACAAAAACAAACACAATCCAGCTGCTCTATATAACACACACTGGCATCGATAATTTTGTTTCTCTCGCACATACAGACAATTAAGAAGAGTCTATATTTAATCATTTCCTGGACTTCTTTTTCTCCTACTTCTTCTCTTTCCAAAACATAACGGGAACATGTTGAAGGGCAGATATTAAATCTAATGTGAGAAAAACTCTTAAAATCTCTAGATTGTGATCTCCAGATTATGGCTCATCATTTTTGGATGAACAACAGAAGTGTGTGGAACATTTCCCAGATCATTCAATACATTTCTTCTCTTGGTAGGGTGCTATGAATGTTGCAAACACGCTGTTGAGAAAAGATGTCTTGTTGGTGCATCCCACAAAAGGAATATGTGCTGTTCTCAATCAGGCTCAAGTTTGAACCACCGGGCACACAGCATACCTCACAACACTAAGCACAGGAAGGCAAACTGCAGAGGGAAATGTTTCCCTCCTGCTGCATGAAGCTTGAATAAATCCTCTCCCCCTCCCTCCTAGATAAGCTAACTCTGCTGTGGACTTTACATCTGTGACCTGAGAAAAGGTTCTCAATTTTCTGGCACAGTCTTTAACAAAAAAAATATGCTGTGCTCTGTCTTCCTGGAGGAAATTTAGCACCTGCTTCCTCGATGAATGGGTGCAAACCACTTCTAAACCACAATCACCTTTTTGTACATTCTGTTCATCCACCCACACACCACTAGAAAGCTGGTCATGAAGCAGAATACAATAAAGACTAAGCTGAAGTAAAAGAAAAAAAAAAAAGCAGCTGCTCAAAACACCTACTAACCTTGATAACCTGTTCATCTGTTGACCTGCACTCCACCGACTCGGTTACATCAGAGACCGCTCCATCTGTTCCCACCGTGACCACTTTAACTGGAACAGCGACAGTTCGCCCAGTGAGGACGGCCGTGTTGAGGATCTCTGTGTCCTAGAAGAGAAAACACAAAGACACAAAGCAGTGTTAGCTGACTGTTGGGACAAATCAATCATGGCTTGTTGTGAATTTTTGGGTTTGATTTCAATATCCTCACAATGTTATATTAGGCCCCCGTGTCCACCTAGCAGTTTCTTCCAGGCAGAAAAGCACTGGCTCTGCATTTAAGAGCGCTTGTAAGAAGTGTTTGTGCACTAAGAATGAAAGTGCTGCATGTCCATACTGTTTTATATGACACCATTCTGTTGACAATGGGTGCTGTATGACCAACACTGCTCTGTTGCTTATTACTTTTTTTTTTTTTTTTAGATGTGTTTTTCTTCCAGATCAGACATGGAGCAAAGAGCATGAGGGTACAAGAAACTATCTGTAAGATGCAAAAAATACAGGGAATATAGTATGTTTGAGCCCAAGTAACGTCAACAGTGCCTTTTCTGAAAAGTTGAAAGATCTTTCTGCTACTGCGAATGCTCTCTCTTCATTAAAAACAATAGAAAATAAGATTCTGGCACTCAGGTTGACAAAGGTTTGGTTTTACTTCTTGTAATCTGATCCAACAACATCCTGATCACACTGCAGATTACACACAGCCCACATTTATTTCTCTTCTCACAGGTCTACACAGACCACCCAGATATGAAATGTAGCCGAACATAGACCTGCAAGAGACCATAATGATATCTGGAATAGAACAATGTACAACCTCTGCTGTAACCTCTGATTCTAGAATCCTGGTAAACTTGTGAAAACCTTAACCCTCCAGACTACCAATCAAGAGAAACTCACTTGGAACATGGAGTAAATGTTTTTGAAACAATCACAGTCATGAGGTTGAGGAACCTTAAGTCATTGGAGAAGAAACAAATTAAAAGATTGAGGAGTTGGTTGAAATGTTTCCACTGGTTCCACTAGTTAAGGTACGTACCTGAGTTACATATTCTGCCTTCTGGGATGATACTCCTGACACCATGTAGCCTTTAGAGCCACTAGCCTCCATGCAGAGATTTTGATTTGTAAAAGGGAGGAGTTACAATTTAATGAATGGTTTGCATTGGCTTTCTCTGGTTTATAGAAATAATTGGACGGTAATATTGTGTGACAAATTGCAAAGATTCAAGATATTTCACAAGTAACACTTGCGAACAGAAGGCTTACATGAACAGGAAGAAGATAAAAAAAAAAAAAAAAAATCCATTAAGAAAATGTCTGGTAATCCTTGAGCTCTCACAGAGCTGGTTTCTACAGAGGAAATGTAATATCATGCATCCTGCACATCACAGCTCGGTTCGATTAAAGACTATGAAGAGGCCTAAACCTTTGAAAGATAGAGGGAAGTTTGTCTCCAGACAGCTCTTTGTTCATCACAACTGGTGCCTCTCTGTTTGCTTTGTTTCTTCATCCTTGAGCTCCTTTTGTAACAAGCCATACATCATAAAGCTCAAAAGAACATGAAGCATTCAAAGCCTGTTAAAGAGGTCTCCTCTGCCTTGTCTCCCTCACACATCTTATTCTTCAGTGTTCTGAAATCTGTCTTTGACATCTGCAGGGTTACACTGTGTTACTCTTTAGTGTTAAAAAACTTGAATGTAGCTTCTAGTCTTAGTCCTTTTGTCACCAGTGACACACTAGCGTGATGACATCAAACAGCAGGGTCTTCAGACTACCTTTTCTTTGCTTTTAAAAAACAAGTTAGAAACAGAGTGGACACAGATACTTTCCCAAATGTTACTAGAAGCAGAATCAACGGGACAGGATTAAATAAAACCGTCATCATGCTCAGGGTTCTTTAATTGCCAATTTATCTCGACGTTATACTGACATTTTCAGATATTTTAATTTAAAAATCTATTTTTAAATTGACCTTAAATGCTTGCACGTGATTCAACGCAACAAGCATCTATTTTTTTTCTATCTATCTATCTATCTATCTATCTATCTATTTTGGGGCTTTTTATGTCTTTATTTTAGAGATAGGACAGTGGATAGAGTCTGAAACAGGGGAGAGACAGAGTGGGGAATGACATGCGGGAAAGGAGCCACAGGTCGGATTCGAACCCGGCCCGTCCGCTTGGAGGACTACAGCCTCCGCCCATAGGGTGCACACTAACCACTAGGCTACCGGCGCCCCAAATCTATTTATTTATGTTTACCACAAAGTTTATCACGGCATCTGTGAAATTGTTTCACCTTCCCCAAGAGATATATAGATACCCCTTGAAGGATGTTTTAAAATAAGAATTGTTCAACTTAGATGAAAGTGGATCTCTATTCTTGTTTTTTTTAAGAACATTAATAGATGTAGTTCCCTAAAAGGCCAATGCTGAAAATCTGAGATAAACTTCATATCAACTTTTTTCCTCTGTGAACAATAGAGATTCTTCCTCTTAATAATAATCTGAGACTTAATGTAAAGTCTCTAGTGGCCTATAAGCACCTTTTAAAAATTGCTCTTTGTTGTGTCCAGTAAGGAGTCATGAATACTGTAATATCAGGATGATTAGAGAGGTCTTCATGAGCTTCACCGGGCATTAAGGAGAGTGTTTGTGCCACAAAAAATATGAACCTTTAATGAGCTTGGATATAATACACACTATCACAAGCACACAGACTCTTAACTGTAACTAAGTGAAATTTAGCAAGACAGCTGGAGTGAGGAACGAGGCACAAAAGGAAGTATCCTTTTTTCCATGAAATCTGCCTACCTGCTACCAAACACTGCCCTGCTGACTAATACCCTCCTGGTGTTATGAAGGGCTCAATGTTCTATTAATGATTCCTATTTGTACACCGCTTCAGATAAACACTCCAAAAGGCTTTTAGCACACGCACTCACATACACTAACGTATGGTTCATAGATGCACTTAGACATACCAACTGTGAGACACACCAACACAAACACACCCCTGTAGCCCAGCGAGGAAAAAAAAGAAAGAAAGAACGTCTCTCTCCTCACACAGCAGCTGATCTTAACAACCTCATTTCAGTGCAGAGTAGAGAGCGAGAAAAGAGAAGAAAGACGTCAAGAGGAGGAGGGATCGATAAAAGGACATTATGCTTCTTTGTGTGAAGTCTGGGTACGAGGGTGGAGTGTGTTTGGGCTGATATGGTTGTGGATTTCTGAGAAGGTAGAGCAGAAAGTATATTTGAGCCCTTAGTAATCCTTAACTTGTGGTTGATTGTCCAGGGCCCGTATCCATAAACGTTCTGAGAATCCTCTCTGAGCGCTCCTAACTTAGCCTAAAAAAATCCTAGCTATTATTTCTAGTTTAGGAGTGAGTTAGGAACATAGAGCAACTCTGAGCAAGGAAGAGACACGAACTTTTGTCTCAGTGAGGAGGCGTGGTTGACCCCATTGCCAGGTACAGTATGACACATTTTTTTCAGAAGCTGTGATTGGTTGAGCTAAAAAAAAAAGGGAGAAAAAAGGTGCTCTCTTAATAATAATGGACACAGACAGAATCTAGTCAGACATTGTGTACACAAAGCAGTGTACAGCCATTTACAACAGAGGCACATAACGATCATATGTGTATAATAGGCCCATAACTACAGTACATATTGAACCAGATAGGAGGCTCATGCAGCTGACTAATGATAAATACAGCATCTATTCGAAGGGCGAAGAGTAGAAGGCGAAGAACATACCTGCAATATGTTCAGCCTATACTGTAGATCAAGCCTCGGAACACTGATAACCCTGGTCAGAAATGTATAATTCATTCATTGACCCAACAGCTGGCAGTGAACCGCACAGAGAACACAGCTCAACTCTTCACCAACCAGCTCAGAATGAGAGTAAGCTCACAGGTCCTGTAGCCTAGAGCACTTCTGAGTGTGGTTTATATTGCCACTGCAGCACTCCTAGCTTTTCAATTCATATCAATTATCAATAAAAACCTTTTTTTTCCCCCTTACAGCACTTACTGTATACAGTCTCCCTCTGCCACTCACCAAAATGTGAACATCAGTTCTCCTAGCCTATAGGGGGAGATAAAATGAAAGCGAGGGCAACATATACTTTTTCTCTTCTTTTTTTTTCTCAGAAACACTAATACAACAGCAGGGGAGAGCTATGTGCATGGGATTCAGAGTCCTTTTACTGTTATACTGGGGAGAAAAGGCACAGGAGCAAAGTTTTTTTTCTGTAAACTGATGAAGCCAGAAAGAAGCTTGAGCAAGGTGATGACAAGTGAAATGACGAGGGATGTGATGAAACAGGCAGCACGATGGAAAAATACTCCAACGATGAAGCAAGATATCAGTCATGTAAGGGTGCAGAACTTTCTTTATTAACTAAATGTGGGGGATGTTTTTTTTGTTTGTTGTTGAAGAGAGTAGAGCTTTGATGAAGAGACACTACACCATACTGGAAGTATTATTTGCAAAAGAGGCTGCTGTCTCTTTTGCCCTCAAGCTTCACACTAAATGTTCTAAAAATAAAGTATGTTAGTTTAACCTGCTATGGATCAAATATGCCGAATTAATTCCAGTGTCTCCATTTGTTTTTCAAATTGGGAAAGCAACTATAATTGCGGCATTAGCAAATAAAGAGTTGTGGGCAGTTTGGGGGCACTGTGCCATGACCACGAGTAAGAAATACCATTATTGATTCTTTAATCGAAAGCAGCAGTGATTTATACTCTCCTCATTAATTAGATATTGATCTATTACATACGTTGGTTTTCTTATATTCTATTGGATTGTTCCGTTGACTGCACTGTGATCTTTGAAATCGTTTAATGAGATTATATATTAAGCCTCCGTCGGTTTCCCTCCACACACTTTCTCACTCTTTAACATTGGGCGAGTGAATGCCAGCAGTGGTGAATCGGCTGCCCCTGCTTAAAACCTTGTCCGTGTGGACGGGTTGGGACGAGGACACAGAACGGGATCCCCCACCCATCCTGCTCCCAGAGGCCATTTCATTAGAACAAGCCAGTTGAGCTGCTCTGTGCTGGACTCCGGCCCTCACTGACCAAATAAAAATATCCTG